GAAAGAAAGAAAGAAAAGAAAAAAATAAGCCTGAATTTCAGAATTATGACCTCTGAAAGAAAAGATTAGGTCAAGTGCTGTGTCACAGTACTGTAAGGTTCAAGGGGAAAGGTGACATGAAACCATGACAGACAGCCCCCAACCTCTTTTACCTATCTATCATCACAACATTCAAAGCAGCTGTGTAGGAGGAGACAGCTCACTCTCAGAACCTTCACCTCTATCACTCACCTGGTGTTGATCTGCTAGCCCCACAGAATGAACATTTTTGCCTGACTTTGATGAACACTTCTTTGTGGATTTTATAGATAATTCTTTGGCCTTCTCTGAATTCTTTCTAATTCTTTTCCATCCCTACTTTGAATCAAGTCATAAYCTATAATGAACAGTTATAATTACTATCAAGAAAGTTTATCTTTTTTTAAAGAGAGAGAGAATTTTTTAATATTTATTTTTTAGTTTTTGGTGGACACAACATCTTTATTTTATTTTTATGTGGTGCTGAGGATCGAACCCAGCACCCCGCGCATACCAGGCAAGCACGCTACCACTTGAACCACATTCCCAGCCCCAAAGTTTATCTTTTTAATGTTCTTATCTTTTTATTGAAATAACTTTAATCTAAGGGAGTGCCTTTGCAGTTGTAAAATTCTGGATGCCATTTGTAAATACCATTCTTTAATGTCTTCCAGAGAGTAGATATCTGTGTGTAAAATAATCCCATATTTGATGGATTTTATAACTAAGTAATGGAATTAAGGAAAAATTTTAAAAGTGGTCCTTTTTAAAAGGTAAGTACAACGGGAAATTCAGAATGCCCTGATTCAGTTAAGTATGGACACAAAGGGACATTTGCTTTGAGATAATATAGTATTAGAAAAAAAAGCAGAGGCTGGGGATGTGGCTCAAGCAGTAGCGCACTCGCCTGGCATGCATGCGGCCAGGGTTCAATCCCCAGCACCACATCCAAAGATATTGTGTCTGCCGAAAACTAAATAATAAATATTAAAAAATTCTCTCTCTCTCTCCTCTCTCTCTCTCTCTCTCTCTCTCTCTCTCTCTCTCTCTTGCTCTCTTTAAAAAAAAAGAAAGAAAAAAAAAGCAAAACGTAGATCTAAATGTCTTTTATCTCTTTTCCATCATTGTTTGTGCTTTTCTTTTTTCTTTTTGGTGTTGGGGATCAATCAGAGGTTCTTAGTACAATCACTCTACCAGTGGGTTATCCTCCCAGCCCAATTGTCAACTTAGATAAAAAGACTTTATTGAGATAAAATTTACATACTATATAGTTCACCTCCTTAAAGTCTACAGTAAATAGTTTTAACAAGTATGGTTGAGAATTATGCAATAATACCACCGGTTATCGGTGATGAGTTCTGTATCTTGGTAGCCTCAGAGCAGGCCCAGGAATACTCAGTGGGATGGTCAAAAGATGGGAAACAGGTGGGATGAAGGGGAAAGGGCAGGACAGAGCAGCCCTGGATACAATAATTAACAACCTTATAGCTCCCTGTAGGGAGGGGCAATTCCTGGGATAGGTTACCTTAGCAACAGGGAGCAGAGGCAAGTTCTTGATAAGGATGAAGGAAGGGCTCTAAAGAAATTAACACTTCAGTCTCTCAGAGGCCAGTCTCCAACTTCCTGGACTCACTCAAATTTGGCCTCCTTGATCTGACTTGACTCGATTTACCTACCAATACTTATTGCCTGTCTAATTCTGGCTTCATTCCGCACTCTAATTTTAGGAACTCCTTACTACTGTAAGGAAAAGGGGCAAAGACTGCTCTGGCTTCTTTGAGCTGAGTGTGGGAGCTCGACGTGAGGTGAGGCAAGCAGTTTGGATTTCCCTTTTAGAATTTGGGTCAGATTGAAATCTGGTTGGGGAAGATCAGATTGTAAAGTCATCTGGGGATGGGTGCTTCCATGAGAGAAACAAAAACATGAGAACTGAGTAAACATTTCAGCGTCTGGAACATGTCAATGTATAACATGAAGATGATAGAAGTTCTCTCACCAGGGGGTGTGAGGGCTGAGAAGTTGTCCCCATAATAAGGCCAGAGTGGACAAGGCTTTTATTTGGGAATATAAATCTTTAACATCCTCAGAGTTATCAGGAAGGTAAACACACATTTAACTTTTAATGTTACAGATGTCCATTACCATAAGATGTAGTTAAGCTACTTAATGTCATCTGATCTCGTAAAATCTTTGTAGTTGTATGACCTCTGTGTCTAGTAGAGAATGCTTTATGTCTATTACTTAGGGCTAGATAATCATGTTAGTAAATATTAATCCTACCTGTGTAGGAGGTTAGGAAGATCTGTAAGCCTTAAACTGGCTAAAAACTTCTGACTTGGCTGTTTCACTTGATAGTTATTAAGTGTTCCTTCTTAAGAATCTCTCTTTTATAGTCTCCAGTCTTATTTATTTTGGGAGGCTAACACAAGTGTATATCTTAAGTTACATTTAACTATTATTATTTTTTAAATGTTCAGGAATAGCTGTGTTTTGTTTTAGCTGTTTTTGCTAGGTGTTTAAGATGAAGCAGGTCAAACTGACTCTGTTTCTATCTATTGTTAAGAGTCAGATGAGTTCCCATGGGAGTCACTCTTGAGGGAACTTGAGAGCAGCTTCTTAGTTCTGCTAGTGCCATTTGTTTTTTTTATTTTTTATTTATTTTTGTTTGTTTTTTATTGGTTGTTCAAAACATTACAAAGCTCTTGACATATCATATTTCATACATTAGATTCAAGTGGGTTATGAACTCCCAT